TGATACTAGCAAAGAACTTTATAACCAAACGCCTCATTTAAGCAGGCCCATTCTGTGCCATGTTCCATGAAGTATGGCCTGTCTTGAAGCAGACAGGCTCTCCTTCAAAGAGCCTATCTTTCTCTTTATTTAAACTCAGAATGTGTGGCTTGTCTGTCTCTACAAAAGACGTTGCCTTCTTTGTACAGAGGCAGCCGTTAAAGCTGAAGAACGGGGTGGCCCTCTTCAACTCAACCAGACCAATCCAACTGACAAACAGACTGCATTCTAAGGTTCTTTTGTCTATTGTAGGACCCTTAGAAGCATTTTGCCATAGAAACAATGTTATACACAGTGGTTCTATTCTTAGGGAAAGGCATAAAAGCCTGCTTCACCTGTTACATAGTTGCACAAATAATTTAATAGGATCAAAATGCACTTGTGCTAAATAATGCCTTAACCAAACAGTGTGTAATAATGCTTCTGTGAGAATTCATTAACAATTCTACCCTTTTTTATACTTGTAACTTCTTTCTGGTAATATCTCCCTGAGCTCCTCTTTCAAACCTCCCTTGCCACTGGGTAATAGTGCAATGCAAAGCCAAATGCAAGCCACTGGTGTTAGCCACTATTACCTGGAGCCAGGACATTATAGCTTGGTGTGGAATGTCCCATAAAGACCTATGTATTAATGACTTGGTCACCAGCCTGTGGTACTACTGGAAGGTGTAGAAACTTCAAGAGGTAGGCATAGTGGAAGAAACTAGGTCCTCCTAGAATGCCAGGTAATTTTTTTCTTTCTCTGTGTCTCCCAGTTGCCATGATGTTCTGGGCTTCCACAGGCTCAGCAACAGACTCAAGCAACCACGGACTAAAACCACGTGTTGATTTTCTCAGGGATTTTTGTCACAATGAGGGGAAACTGACTAATACATGGTACTCCAGGACTCACTCAAAGGGTAATGAACACAGGGCTGGGTTTGAGGAGGGAAGGTGTGAGACAGGATCTAGAGAGTTAGGACAAATTACACTGCCAGTGTACACCTCAAGCATTAGTTGAGCCTATGCATCGTCTTTCCTGTCTCCCATCAGCCCCTGTGGTTCTGGTGCTCCTTTGCCTTCCACTACCTTCAGTTGCTTTTACAAAGGCTGTACTCTGCCTTCTGGCTGGCCACACCGCAGACAACAGCCTCAGATTGCTCCTTTGTTCCTAAGTTTCCTAAACAGTGCTGCAGCTGCTAACAAAAGAAACCAAGAGATAAAAGAGCTCTTCTAAATTTACTTGCCACAGCCTTTATTTTTTTATTTTTTTAATTTAGATTAAGTTGAAAGAGTGTACACCTGGATGGTAACAAAAGGTTTTGAAGGACTGAATGAGTTATGAATTCGTTTTACAGCAATCAAGGGAACTCACATTAAGAAGATATGTTCTACTCAGGAAAAAAATAATGTGTGTGTGTATATATATATATATATATATATATATATATACATGTATATATATAAATATATCATGTATATATATTTATTTTAGATAGGTAGGTAGATAGATGGATAGATATATGATAGATGATAGATTAGATAGATAGATAGATAGATAGATAGATAGATAGATAGATAGAGTATGTGTGTGCTCTCCCAACAGCTAGAGAGATCCAGAAACTACAGCTTGTGTTTAGAAGATGACCTTACTCCCATCACATACACTCTAAACTGGAGGCTGGTGGTATCCTGCAAGCGGTAAGTCTTTCTTATTCTCATGCCATCATGTTCACAGATGTGATGTTCTCTGCCTAAGACCAGCATCCCATTCAAAAGTGGGCCACACCATCCTTCTGTCCAGGACCATTTGCATCAGCTTCTGTGACATTTATAGATGCTCATTGTCCACAGCACCATGTCCCAGCTCAACCTCCCATCTTTCTACAAAGGGAAGAAGGACGCTGTCTCCTAGGTTGGCCTAGGAGACAGTCCTTTGAAAGGGACTTCCACTCCTGACAATTCTCTGCTCTCTTCAACAAACCCCAGTATCTCCCACACCACCCTCTCCAGAAATTTCTGAGCCGAGGACATAAATCTGGATGGTGGAGTTTTATTTCAGGGACTAAGACCTCGCCACCTTAGTCCTCACTGTTTTGTAAGTCTATCACACAGAAGCTGTTTACAATAGACTGACGCTGGGAAGCCCAGAATCAGAACATACTCGTCTGGAAATGGTGAAAAGAACAAAAATCTACATCAATTAACTACTATCCTGCCTTGTATATTTCAGAAGAACTGCCTGTCTTGGCTCTCGAATTGTTTCCTAAGTCAGCTGTAAAGTCTATTAGATGTAGGTACTGAGTAAAGACATGAGGAGGACTCCCACAGAGAACACACCAGGCCCCAGCGAGCCTACCAAAGCTGAGGATGAGAATTTTATGCTCCCATTTTTCTTTTCAACCTTCTTTTCTGTCTTAAAGCCAACATTTAAGCAAGTTTACCATACTCTAAGCAGTACAATAAATGAGTAATGTAGATTATTTTAACAAATTCTCACAAGTCAGTGAAATATGCTATTATGCCAATTTATAGGTGAAAAGATTATGACTTCATTCTCAAAAAAGAAAGTTATTATATAAATGTATGGCTACAAAGAATTTATAGCTATGAAGAGAATATTAAAAAATAAATCAAGGCCAGAGAGATAGCTCAGTTAATAGTGTTTACTGCCAAGCATGAGGACCTGAGTTTGATTCCCAGAAGCCACATAAAAAGAGTCAAGCATAATGGCATGTGTTTATGACCCCAGCTCTGGAGAAGTGAAGAAAGGCAGATCCCTGGGGGGGCCTCTGACTGTCCTGCCTAACCTAAATGGTGAGTTTAGAGTCTCAGGCATCCTATCTCCAAAAAACAAAAACAAAAACAAACAAACAAAACAGATAGATGTTCCTGAGGAACAAGACCCAAGGTTGACTTCTGGCCACACATATCCACACCCACATTTTCATACTGACTATATAGTAATTTTTAAACAACATAAAGTATAAGTTAAATACAATATTAAGAAACAGGCCAAATCCCTCCTCTCAGGGCTCAGGGAACCCCACAGAAGAGGAGGCAGAAGGAGTGTATGTAAAAGCCAGAGGGGATGGAGGACATTAAGGAACCAAAGCCCTCTACATCCAAGGATCGAAGCACATGCAAACTCAGACCAGGGCAGCAAGTACAGGGCCAGCACACGTCTGCACCAGAGGGGTTAGAGCTAAAAGAAGCGGGCACAGCCGGGCGGTGGTGGCGCACGCCTTTAATCCCAGCACTCGGGAGGCAGAGGCAGGCGGATCTTTGTGAGTTCGAGGCCAGCCTGGTCTCCAAAGCGAGTTCCAGGAAAGGCGCAAAGCTACGCAGAGAAACCCTGTCTCGAAAAACCAAAAACCAAAAAAAAAAAAAAAAAAGCGGACACAGGCTCCATCCCTAAACCAGAAGCTATCCCCAAATGACAGCCACTTGCAAATGAAAATCCCTTTTCTCAAGGGGAGTCTCAGTGAGGAAACTAACTACTCCGAAGGGCAGGCTGCGTGTCCAGCAGTTCATGGTCAGCAGAAAACGAACTCAATGGCATCTTCAGAGGTTCCTTGTCTCATAATGTCATGTCAGGACTTTTAAAAATCTTACTTTTCATTTATTCTTTTTTTTTTTTTTTTCTGTCTTTTTACCCTGAGGGTCACGGGTATCTATTAAGGTTCCAGTTTAGTGTTTTGCATTTGGTGGCAGTCCTGGTGTGTGGGTGAGTGGGTCTCTGTGTCTGTATCCGCTTCTTGTGCCTTTCCGTCTCTTCCCTTCTGGTGTCTTGTTTTGTTGTTGCTGTTTTTGTTTTTTGTCCTATTCCGATGTGTAAATTTTTTTGTTTTATCTTATTATATTTTGTTTTATTATTCATCCCTTAGAAGCCTATTGTTTTCTAATGAAAGACAGAGAGAGGGTGGGTCTGGATGGGAAGGGAGGTGGGGAGGAACTGGAAGGAGTAGAGGGAGGGGAAATATAATCGAGATATATTGTATGAGAAAAATATCTACTTTCAATTAAAGGAGATAAAATTAAAAAAAAGAGAGAGAGAGAAAGAAACAGCTAACAGTGTCAGTTACAACCAAATGCTACTGGACAAACTCTACTTGAAGAGTTCTACTTTCAGTAAAAGTAGTCTAGGGTTTGAGAGCCACACGCAGAAAGCTGAACTTTGCTCATTTTGTGGATGAGAGGCCATTGTGTGAAGCTGTAAGGTGAAGCCTGGCTCTGTTGGAGACCCCAAGATGTTGGAGATGCCAGAGGCATGGGATTACTGCCAAGGAAAGCTGTAGACTGGGTGTGGAACCAGCCCAAGAGAGAGAAGTATGTTACAGTCAACAAAGCTGAAAAGAGTTGGAGATTTGAAGAGTGCTTTGACATCAGACATGGAGATGCAGAGTGTGGAGTTTGCCCAGCTGGTTTTCAGTCTTGCTTTGGCCCAGTATTTCCTCACTATGCTCCCTCTCCTCCTTTTTGGAATGCAATGTATATCCTGTGTCATTGTAAGCTGGAAGTAAGTGATCTGTTTTTTTATTTTGATTTTACAGGAGGTTATACTTAAGAGATTGCCATGAGTCTCAGAAGAAACTTTGAGTTTTGGACTTCTAAACAGGGTTGAGACTGTGCTAGACTATGAGGACCTTTGAAGTTGGACTGAATGCATTTTGCATTATGATATGGCTACAGGCCTATGGGGACTAGGTAGTGGAATGTGGTGGTTTGAATAAGAATGGCCCCACAGGCTCATAGATTTGAATGCTTAGTCACCAGGAAGTAGCACTGTTTGAGAAGGGTTAGAAGATTAGGAGGTGTGGCCATCTTGAAGAAAATGTGTCACTAGGGTTGGGCTTTAAGGTTTCAAAAGCTCCCGCCAAGCCCAGTCTCTCTCCTCTCTCCTCCCTCCCTCCCTCCCTTCCTCTCCCTCCCTCTCTCCCTCTCTCTCTCTCTCTCTCTCTCTCTCTCTCTCTCTCTCTCTCTCTCTCTCTCTCTCTCTCCCCCTTTATGCTGGCAGATCAGGATGAAGATCTCAGCTACTGCTCCAGCATCATGTGTACCACCATGCTCCCCATCGTGATGAAAATGGACTAAACCTCTGAAACTGTAAGCAAGCCTCCAGTTAAATGCTTTCGTTTATAGGAGTTGCCTTGGGATGCATGGATGGCCCAGCGAAGGAGAAATATATGAGCTCTACATGAGCAAACTGGGGGTAAGGGAGGTAATGGAGGGCAAGGGACGAGGGATGAGAACATAGGGGAAGGAGAGGTTCTAACCGGAACAGGGACAGAGTGAGAGAGCAAGGAAAGAGATACCATGATAAATGAAGACATCATGGGAATAGGGAGAAACAGAGTGCTAGGGAAGTTCCCAGGAATCCACAAGAATGACCCTACCATAGACTACTGGCAATAATCGAAAGGGTGCCTGAATTGGCCTAATCCTGTGATGAGATGGCAGAATACCCTAACTGTCATCATAGAGCCCTCATCCAGTGACTGATGGAAGCAGATGCAGAGATCCATGGCCAGACCCCAGGTTGAGCTCTGGGAATCCAATTGATGAGAGAGAGGAGGGATTCTATGAGCAAGGGACATCAAGACTATAATGGGAAAAAGTACAGAGACAATTAGCCAAACTAGTGGAAACTCATAAACTGTGGACCAATAGCTGAGGAGCCCCCATGGTACTGGACTAGGTCCTCTGGATAGGCAAGACAGTTGTTTAGCTTGAACTGTTTAGGGGGCCCCCAGGCAGTGGGATCAGGATCTGTCTCTGGTACATGAGCGGGCTTTTTGGAACCTAGTGCCTATGGTGGGAAACTTTGCACAGCCTTGGTGCAGAGAGGAGGGGCTTGGACCTGCCTCAACTGAGTGTACCAGGCTCTGCTGACTCCCCATGGGAGACCTTGCCTTGAAGGAGATGGGAATGGGGGGTAGGTTGGGGGGAAATTCTGGGGGGCAGGAGGAGGGAGGACTGGGGAATCTGTGGTTGGTATGTAAAATGAATAGAAAAATCTCTTAATAATAATAATAATAACAAATAATGCTGCTAGGAACATAAAAAAAAGAGTTGCCTTGGTTGTGGTGTCTCGTCCCAGAATGGTGACTAAGACCTTTAAACAATAACTAGCACCAATGCTTCTCAGAGTGTTCCATAAAATAAACAAGGAAAAAGTCATACAAAAAAATTTTATGAGCCAATATTACCCTCATATCAAAAACCAGATAGTCCTAGATATCTTATATGCCTGTATGTTAACATATTTTCCCTCTATTGGTTTCAGGTTCAGGTATTACATTAAGGTCTAGTAGGAGTTGATCTTTGAACAAAGTGAGAGGTAGGTATCTAGTTTCATTCTTTTGCATGCAGGCATCCAGTTTTTGAGTACTGAAGAGGCTTTCTTTCTCTAAAAGAATTTTTGGCTTCTTTGTCACAATCAGATGGCTGCACCAGGTGTGACGGCTCACACCTTTAAGTCCGGCACTTGGGAAGCAGTATGATAGGTGTATTTCTGTGAGTTCAAGTCTGGCTTGATCAACATAATGAGTTCCACCCTGTCAGGAGAGAAAAAAGAAAATTCAGATGGCTGTAGCTGCAAGACATTCTGTTATTCTATTGCATTGGTCTGTCTGTTTTGTATGCCAGTATCATGTTTTTGTTACTATTGTTGTGAGTACAACTTGAACTCAGGTGTGATGGTATTTCCAGAATTATTCATTTTTTTTTTCCTCAGGATTGGCTTGGCTTGGCTGTCTGGGGTCTTTTGTCTACATGAATTTTAAGACTCTTTTTTTCTACTTCTGTAAAGACTGGCATGGGTGTAGTCAGATCTTTTTGTGGGACTGCTGGCTCCCCAATAACAACATGGAGATTTATTATTAATTATGAAAGCTCAGCCGATAGCTTAGATTTGTTTTTAGCTAGCTCTTATAACTTAAATTAACCCATATTTTTAAATCTACGTTCTGCCACATGGCTTTTTCCTCGGTCCCATTTTGTGTGTCCAACTCATTCCATGTCTGTGCTGGCATCAAGAGGTCGTGCTTAAGCTAATGGCCTAGGCCAAGCAAGTTTATTAAGAAGTATAACATCTTATATACTATTTCCAGGGAAGAATGGGACAGAGTCAGCAGAAAACTGTCGTACAATGAGATGAGACCAGCAGAAGGCTAAACAAGCCTTTTGCACAAGGGGAACACAGGCCATTTCAAGAGCACTGTAGACTGAGCACACAACAGGCTTGAGACTGATAAATCCAGCCTCTTCAGGAGGAAAAGCCAAGTTCTTAGGAACCAAAACCTTAACCCCTTCAAGGCCCTGGCCACCAGCCCGAGACTAGCATTGCCGAGTCTGACCCTGGGTGAAGACACAGAACAATGTTCCTTTTGTACTTTCATCAGGGCCTCTGAGACAGTCTTGGATGAGTCAAGCTTTCAACAGAAGTAAAAAGTTTCTGCACACCAAAGGAAACAGTCAAATGAAGGAACAGCTTAGGATGGAATAAAATCTGAAGAGCTAAATATCTGACAAAGCACTAACTTCTAAAGACATAAAGAACTAAAAAAAAGAAAAGAAATACTAAATAAGTCAAGCAACCTAATGAATGGGCTAATAAAATGAACAGACAGTCCCCATAAGATAAAACAAAAATGACCAATAAACACATGAAGATGGCATTTAACCTCACTAACCATGGAGAAGTGCCAATTACAACTACGTTCAAGGATTGGAGGTGTGTCTCAGTGGGTACAGTGCTTGGCTAGCATGGACAAAGCTCTGAATTCAATCCCCAGCACCACATAAATCAACTGTCGTGGCACATGCCTATAATCCCCAAAATTGGGAGGTTAGAGGCAAGAATTTAAGAAGTTCAAGGTCATCCATGGCTATAGAGAGAGTCCAGCCTTGCATGCGTGAGACCTTGTTGTCTCAAAAACAACAACAACAAAATATTATGTTTTATCTCACTCTAATCAGAGAGGCAATTATTAGCAAAGTGATAAATAAATAAAATAATGATGAATATTGATGAGGCTGTGGACAAAGGGAACCTTATATACTGCGAGTGGAAATGTAAACTAGTCCAACCACTATGGAAACTGGTATCGAAATTCGCCAAAACATTTGAAATCTACCACACGCCTTGGCTATATCATTCCTAGGTATTTACCTAAAATTCTCCAAGTCAACAGATTACAGAGATACTTGTATGGTAATGTTTATTGCAGCATCATTCCCAATAGCTGAGTTATGGACAAACATAGATGTCCAACAGCAGAGGACTGGGTAAAGAAAATGTGGCATGGATACACAGTCAATTTTTTTTCAGGCATAAAGAGGAAAAATGTTATGTCATTTGCAATAAAATGGATATAGCTGGACATGACCATATAAGTGAATTAAGCCAGTCCCCAATATGTAGTTCAGATATTTTATATAGAAAAATAAAATCATATATGTATATTTGACGTGAAAATAGAAGCAAAACCATCTAGGAGAGTAAAGGGAGTCTAGTGGGAGGGGAGGGGTGAAGAAATGGAAGGGACGGAGAATGCACTCAATACAACAATGTGCAATATAGACTTGGGTGAAAATGTCCTTATGTAACCCAGTACCATGTACAATGAATATGCACAATGAAAATATTTTAAACAGAAATAAATTGTTAATCTTATCATGAGTTAATAATAATGCATGATAATGAGAAAGTCAACACAGAAATTGAAGAAGAAAGATATTTGATTTCAAAGGTAGACCTAATAATGATACATGGGACTTCTCTGGTTAGTTGAGTCCATGGTTGAGATCAAAACCACAGACTGCTTCATTCTGCTTCTTTGAGTTCTGTTGAGATGTATGACTTTGTATGAGATGGAATGAATAGATTTGATTATGACCTCTGTATTAGTTATAATAGTCAACAGAGAAGCATACTAAGACAATGTGGAAACATCATTGTCAAAAAAAATTCTCTATGGATCTCTCACATCTGTGCACATCTTACAAAAATAAGACACAAATATCATTGTTCTATTATTTTTCCAGGGATGTTTGTTCAGTGAACAACCTAAGAAGATGTAGTATCTCCCTTTGGAGCATCACAGTACAAGCAAGCTTACTGGCCATTATAAGAGTTACAGGTTTTCTAAGCTTAGGGATTCTCCATGCAACACACCACACTATGAATCAGATGTTACCAGGCCCTCTTTGCATTGCCCTGGAGGACATAGGATTCAGGGAACTAATACAAATTTTAATTCTCCAGCTATAGTTACCATTGTGAATAATAAACAGTCCTCTGTTTCTGACGCAGGGCCTTCATATTTCCTGTCAATATCTGTGGCAGGCTACTTTATTGTCTTGCAAGTATCCTAAAATCTCAAACCATTCACCGTTCCTAGCCAATATCTAGGAAAAACGTTTTGAAAACCTTACATATAAGCTGGGGAGATTGCTCAGTGGGTAGTGTTCATTGGACAAGCATGAGGATTACCAGTGTGTAGCACCATGCCTGGTAATTTTTTATTCTTCTGTGTATTTTTTATGTCCGTCAGTTTTATACAGGTATATAATGCATTGTGACCATATCACTCATCCCCCATCACTCTCTCATACCCCACTCTCACTGATCCCATCCTTCCTTCATAGAATCTCCCTTCTTCCATCGTGAAGAGTAGAAACAAGATGGGATTCCCTAGGCAAGCCCCCCCCCCACATCCCCACCCCGCATAATATTACCATATATGGTGACTTCCTGTGCCCATGCTAGGCCTCCGGGCCTAATCCCCCAATCACTGTGAACTAGTGTTCTCAAATTTCAAATATATCTAAAAACAGTTCATAATAGTGTGTATGTAGATAAATGATCACCACATATTTCTAAAATTAGATTTAAAACATCTATTAATTCGGTCCCATTTCTTTGCTATAGTGGATAAAGCAGCAATAACCATGAAAGTGCAAATGTCTCTCTGGTACCATATGGAGTTCTCTGGGTTTGTGCCCAGAGTGAAATGACTGGGTCATATAGCAGTAGTTCTATTTTTAATTCTTTGAGGAAAATCCAAGCTGATTTCCATAAGAGCTTTCTTAATTTTTCATTCCCACCAGCTGTAAGGGTCCCTCTTGTTTTAAAGAGAATGAACAACTAAAAATCTAGCTGTTTATCACAGATGAATGGACAATGATAATCTTGTACATGTATAAAAAGGAATATTCTTCAGCACCAAAGAAAAACGAAATCACAAAGTTTGTAGAAGAATGAATGTTACGCATATACAAGTAAACAAATGTATGTGTGGGTATATTATAACATTTAGAAAGGAAAACAGAAAGAGTAACACTAGATGATGAGGAAGCATAGAATGGATAAAGCCTAGTTTTAGCTATCATGTTTTCTTCTTTTTTATGGCGGATAAGTACATAAAAATGTAACTAAGACTGAATGTATAAAATCCTAAGTGAGGCTCCACGGCTTCAGAACCACCATTTTAACAGTACAGATGCTCACTGGAATGCATAGTGTTTGGAATGAGCAAGTGTTGTTTTGTTGTTGTTGTTGGCTTGTTGAGTGGCTACGTTACTCCAGCTTTATTTTTACTTATAAGTTCATTACAATAAAATCACTGTCATAGTATAATTACTAAGAACACTGTTAAACAACACAGTGCAGAACTGGTACTTAACAAATATGTTTAGTACATTTTTAATTAAATTTGGCAAGAAAATACTCTATATGTATTTTCTATACGTAACACTATTTCAGAAAAGGACAAGAAAATTACATGCTTGCATATTAGCAAGTCAAATGCTATCTCTGAGACACTGAGATTATGAACACTTTCATGTGTTTACTTTTCTGTATTTCCCAATGTTGTGGAATCATGTGGTTATTTTGCAATCAGGAAAAAATGTTATTTTTATAAATAAAAAGCTATCAAAGCTACCTCTGAACTCATCTAGCCCCCTAACAACCTCAATTATGGTGCTGACTCAGGCTGTGTTGATTATATAAATACAAACGATCCCCAAATTACAACGGTTTGACTTAGGATTTTCAACTTTATGGTGTTACAAAAGTAAAACACACTCAGCAGAAACTGGGCCCTGAAGTCTGAATCTTGATCTTTTCCCAGGGTAACAGATGATACCCTGGTGTGATGCTGGACAGCAGCAGCAAGTTCCAGATCCAGTCAGCCACGTGATCACTCCAGATGCTAAGCTATAGGTCCAATAGATTAGGTGAATTAAGCGTATTTTCAACTTCCTTTATCAATTTATTGGGGCACAACTCCATTGTAGGTCAGAGGGCATCTGTATCAGCTAGATTTGGAAAGGAAAGGGGGGCAGAGTATGTGTCAAGGGATTTTAAAGGTCCTAGTTGATCAAGCTATCACTAAGCCATCACCCCTGCTCACTGACTCTAGGAAGAAAATAAAGGCTCACAGGAGCACATGGCAACATTCACCCAGGAAGGTGCTAATTCCAGCTTAGAAAGCACAGGAGTATGAGGGAAACAGACCTTCTATACTTCTATACGAATGACTCTTCTATT